AATGTGAGCTAATCATAAGCCATTGGACATCAAAAGTAAATGTAACAACACATACTTCACAGTTTACAGAAATTTTAGATGAGAGGAAAAGCTTTTCAAAAAAAAGCAAAAGAAATAACACTTTGTTAGATATTTAAACTATTTCCACAATTATAACAAACTTCGTCTGCACCATGTATCTTGATGCTTAAAACTAAACGCACTGATCGTCTTGTTAAAGGACATTTTGCTGTATAAAGGTACAGAGTCCTTGCAAAGAATAGGGAAAATTAAATACATGTTTTAAGACTTTTCTGCTGAGACAGGGAGATAGCATATGTCAACATTTACTGTTCTCACTAAGTCACTACAAAATGTTTGTTTTCATCTCTGAAAGTAATTTGCACAGTGGAGTTTTGCTGATAAAAGATTAACTCTTGAGATTAACTCTTGAGAGGTGGTAAGCACCTGCTTCTGTGCTAAGGCAGCAGAACATATGCCTGCCTTGAATGTACCAGGTCTGGCCAAGTGCAATTAACTCAATAAAACTTTTTAAAGCCAAAAGGTATTCTAAAGGGGCATGGGGGCAGAAGACACTTAAATCATGCCTAGGACATCTTACCACATATTTACCATCATTATAAAATCCTAGCACTGATAAAATGTTTCAAAGGAAGATACCTGCTAGCCAGTCATCTCCAAAAGAGATTTTTCCACCCCTCGCTCATTCAGGAAAGCAAAGTCTATGCCCTCTCCAGAACCCATCACACATGTGTTCCTCTGCTGGTCTGAGGCTGGGAATCTGCCTCCCACCCCCCTGGAGCAGAGCGGACAGCCGTGCAAACAGCTTTGTGCTGAACCGTGCTGTGGTCACTGCCTGGGGAAGGTGTTGGAGGGATGTCAGAGAGGAAATAACACCAAGCACATCCACGCAAAGGTAAGCAGCAGCTTGGAAAGTAACAACAGCAAAGGAGAGAGAATGTGATCTGGCAAGGGAAGGCAAGCACTGCTGCTCAGACCCACATTTCTCGCAGGCTCAACCGGGAGAGCGGCACATGCTGTATTGCCTGCAGTGCAGGGCAATCGCTACGTGTTTACACTCCACAACACATTGAAAAGTATTTCTAAATGTGCTATGGTTTCATCACTGCCACAGAGGAAATGCAAATATTCATCTTGCAAAGTGCAAGTGCTATCCTAAGAAGGCATAGGTTCCTCTTAACAGTATTAAAGAAATTTTAAAATGCAAAGTATTTATCATTTGAGATTGCAGTCCTTGAACCTTTCTGCAAGGCAGGCAGATGTTTCTACATCCCCCAAGCTTCTGTACCCAACAAATCCTCAGAGCAGGACTTAGCCTGTCATGTCAGTGGTGCTCTGCTGCTGGGGCTGCAGGTGCAGGTAAGTGCTGCAGCAAGTGCCATAAGCAAGTATGAGCCAAAAAATTTTGCCAGAAAGAGCTCTGTGGATACCCTCTTTCCTCCTTGGACATCTCAGTATCCCTGTTTTCCAGACTGAGCAAGGGCTGTGACTATGTGTGGATGCTCACACTGTCCTCTGCCTGCCCCCAGTCCATCCTTGCTTTGGTCTGATCTACCCTGGAACTGGCAGAGAACTTACTTCTTGTGCTGCACGTGAATTTTGACCACAGTAGCTAATCTGTCTCACCATTTCCATATGAAGAACTAGGAAAGATCCAGTCTCCTGGAGGAAAGTCTTCTGTTAATATTGCAAAGCTCTATATACCTCACCGTACTAGAAAGGGGCTTTTCTACAGCTGAGAAATGTCTTCTGCGCACCTTTTGTCCCTGCCCTTACTGAATGCGCATCACTGTGTTTATAATTATTTGCACAATCTTTATTCCTATAGTCTGGCGAAGACCATCAGTGTTCGCAAATGCAGAGTAACTAGTGGCAATTACACTGCCAACACAAGCCTTCAAGAAATGTACACTGCATAATACTCTGCTACCTATACTTTTTTTATTCGGTAGTACCTGGGGGCAACAGTCCATAGGAAAGGACATCTGGCTCCCATTTGTGAAAATGGTGGTTTGTGGGTTCGATTTGTATGCACCAGTGGGATTTTGGAAGGAAGCAATTCAGCACTTAAACACATTTCGTCGTTTTCGTGTATGGCAGGGGAAATATGTATAGTTACATGTGCCCAAAGAGCTCAGGAAGATTATTTTTAAACTGAAACTTTTGATATTTTTACAGCATTTATACAATTCCTCTTAAACTGCTCTTTTCCTTTTTAAAATTAGCATCAGTGCTTGTTTCCTGTGTGAAACCTGGTTCGTTTCTGACCAATCAAAGTGAAGATAAATGTGTCAGGAAGCTGTTTTGAATACAGTACCTCAGCTGCAGAGTAGAGCTTCTCTGAGTAATTGAAATGAAAGTCAGTATCCGTAAAAACAAATTGCACAATTCAGTTGTGGCTGGAAAATTACTACTGAGATTGGCAGCTTGATGCAACTATTTCTATTACTTTCTATTGCATTAAGTAAGGTAATAAATACTTCGCAAGAATAGTAGAGCAAGCTTTATTTTATTCCATATTGTGGATATCAAACAACACTGCTAGCAAAAAATTGCCTTTAGGGCAGGAAAATGTTTTATTCCCCACTCCTGTTCAGTCGAGAGTCTTTCTGCTGGTTCTGCCAAGAAGGATGCCAATTAGTGTCAAGTAACATTTTGGTACTGCTGATGAGATACAAAACAAAGGGAGCATAGTATGGTGAAATGAATTTACTGTACTAAGAGATAGGAAAATACCTTTTTTTTTTTTTTTTGTAATTGCTTACCTAGAATTCAGTGAGATGGGTGGGAAAAAGAGAATAGCACTCCTGCTGTTTTACAGTTTATAGCCCCAATTCTGTACTGGGAGTTCTCATTTCAAGCTCCCTTCTTAGAGGAAGCCAGCATTACATAAACCTTCAATATGCACAGATCATATCCACTTGCTAAGGTGAACCCCAAACCAGCTCTGTGTTAATTCAGCTAGTACTTTCATCAATGTTCCTAACACTATCTAGTCAAATTGTTTCTGTGAAATCCAGAGGAAAATGAAATCTCCTGCTTAGGAGCATGCACAAAGCATGTCCACTGGTAAAGATAAATCTCACAGACGTCACTCAGTTTTATTTTATTTCCAGCTTCCCCATCAAGTCAGTGTGAAACCCCCAGAGTTACCTTTGCCGCAATAAAAGCTGAGTGAGGAAGGTGACGGTACCTTGGAGTGAGTGCCTTCCTCAGCACTCAACCAATTCCCAGCACTCCTTTTGTGGTCACTTCATGAGTTTCAAAACTCTTTCTAAGAGAGCACTTTGCGTGCACTCTTGACTGCTAGAAGAGGAAGGGCAGGGGATAAATCTGCAAAACTGGCCAGGGCAATCCATAAAGGTGAGCAGGGCCAGCATCGCTCAGGAATACCCCCAGAAACCTGGCTTGACAGGGGCAAAATTAGTTCCCTGCCAAGATGCACTGCTGAGCATTTGCCTTAGTTATTGAAACAATGGTTAATCTGCAATAAAAGTCACATCCTGACTTTATCTCTGCAAAGATTTCAATAGCAAAGTAAATCCAGCTTTGCACCAAATGTCAAGTCCTGACTTTACTTCCTCTGCAAAAACATCAATAGCAGCATAAATATCACTTCTGTCTTTTTTTTTTTCTATTTTTTTAAGGAAAGTTTACTTCATATATAATACACAGAAAATGCTCGGGTAAAAATAGGAATGAAATCATTACTGCTATAAAGAGGAGGGGTGGCATACCTTCCCTGTCCGTCAAGCTCCACGCAGTTGGCACCCTATAAATCATAGGAAGCACAGGGGTAATTATAGAACTGGAAGCTGATTACTGTAAACATTGAGAAGTAGCTCCTAGTAATTTGAAGCTAAAGATAATGTAAGCATGATTACAACCATGAAGGAACGGTGCATGTCACTTACACCCCTTTTTTCTCTATTCCTTGAAACTAGGTTTTCTCAGAAAGCAACAAGCGACCTAGTCAATCTAGCACCTTGTATATTAAGAACCTGTTAATATCATGAATTGTTTGTTCTCTGTCAGAATTAGCGTTGATGTGACAACATTCAGGCCACCAGGATCTGATTACTTTCCCGTTGTGCATTAAGCAATGTAGCGAACAGCTTCTGCCAGCTTGTTCTGTCATCTCCTGGCACCCCTTCATCACTCCCAGAGGCACTGCAATGCATTTATGGTGGAAAACGCCTGGTCACAGAAGGGCAGCTTGCACCGAGAGTAGATGATGACAACATGTAAAATGGGGTTTAGTGCCAGGGGCATTCATTTCTTCACCCTCGGGGCAATATGGAGAGAAAACTCTGTCTCTTCCACCCTTAACAGAGGGAGCTCCTTGGTGAAGGTGCATCTGCCAGACACATTGTGCTGGACCATGAAGAAATATTCAATTCCTGCCTCAAAGAAGTTACACCGCCGGGACAAATATAATAATACTTCAGCCAAAGTCGATATCCTCTTTCTGGCCCAAACATACTAGAACAACTCCGCAACATGACCAAGAGGGAAAGCTGCTTTTCTGGCATCAGACTGTGCTCTGCTCCTGTCCTCAAGTAGGAAGATATACACAACCTGTCATTTTTATTCTACATAGAAAATTTAGCTTATTTATGGCTCTAATCCCTACTTGATTCTTACAAAGCTATTTACCTCAATTATACATATCACTGATAACAAGTTCTACAAGTTAATTACAAGTGTAGGAGCATGGATTTTCATCCACATCCTTATGCTGTTATTATACAATCCCAAATTCTAGCTGTATTCTGCATTTGAGGCAGAATTTTCAGAACTAATACAACGAGCTTTTGAAAAAGCCACCCTTTTTATCAAAGTTACATAGACTCCTACCTGAAATTATTTAGAACTTGGACATATTATGACCAAGACGACAAGAGACCCTCCACATGATTTGACCTGAAGAAAGTGCTACAAAAAGTGTAGCTTTTGCTACCTGGCAGTAAATTTCTCACCGTGCTGTATAATCCCATGCTCCAAAAGTCTGCGGCCGAGCTGCTCTGCTTCAGTCCGTGTCGTGGCCTCTCCCTCCTGGATCAGCCAGTCAATGAACTCTGATGCCACAAAGGTCCGTTCGTACTTGACTCCTTCCTCTTCCCTGGCTTGCAGAAGGGTATTGTCAGAACTCATCAGCCTGGTATGGGGGGGTGAAAAAATTTGTAGGGAAATTGGTTCTTCAAAAAGGCAACTCCAGATCTATTCTGGCAAATCTCATTGATATTAAGCACACATATGTGAATCTTTCACTGACTTACTAAATCTTTCCTCAAGCTATCAATCTAAACTTAGGATGTGAATTATACTGCTTAGCCAAAAAAATTAGGCTTTATATCCCTGTGTGAAGTTAATGCCTTTTTTTTTTCCCTAAAAGAAAACAAGGTTTCTCAGTTTCACAATTCCCCTATTTAGTTCCTTAGTTTCTCTAAAAGTTACTGTATAATCAACTTTGAAACAAAATTAGTCTAAAAGCACCGGATTGTGACTAATGTGTTCAAAAATTCCTAATTAATTTTTACAGTTAGCAGAACTACGCCCCGAAGTCATTTAGGTGGTTTTGAAAGTTCTCCCCATAAGCTTTAATACAGCTGCAGAAAAACTGAAGAGGAACAACAAAAAGGTAGTTTTGTGGTTTGGGTGCTTGATAACTATTTAGCATCCAACACCCAGTGATGCAGCTGCAATTAGTGAAGTTACACACCTGAACACATTTTAACATCTGAGTCTCAGAGTCTCTGTGCCTCAGTTGACTCCATGTAACACCAGAGTTTAGAGGAACATCCTGAGACGTCTCTAAATCTTCTAGCAACTGGCATGTACATAGCTTAAATAGACTAATAAAATTCTTCTCCATTCAAGTAACCTACACAACTGACATAGTATTAAAAAAAAAAAAAAAAGAAAAAAAGGCCTCAGTATTTTGTTGATGCAAAAGTAAGGTTGACAGTTGGAGAGAGAAGACAGTTTGAAAGAAGAAATGAGAATTGCTCCCTTTCAATATAGAATCCCACTCTTTTTTTGTTTTGTTGGGACACTGAGCACCATAGCCTCCTTATTTACTAATTTCATTTTTCTTCATAATTATTTTATTTATTATAGTTTAATAATAGGACTAATGGTAAGACTTTCAGAATAACAGCCCAAGAATGGCATGGGGTTTTTTTGTTTTCCATATAAGACTAAGTAACTCCCTTCACTAACTATTTTGAAATTAAGGGCACAACTGAACTACAACAGGAAAATTCTGAAAGTTTTGCCCTTATGATCAAAAATTTGAATTTCAAACCATACATGGGCCATCACTTTTGAACTGCCAGCATGTCCAGAGTTCATGGAATATAATGTCACCTCCTCTGGGAGGCATCAGAAAAGTCTGTGCCATAAGAACACAGAGAAAAGTTTCATTTGAAATTACAATAAGGAGGTTTGACAGGACCCAGCCCTTGTGATTTCGCCTGAAAGATTTATTCCCTTGACTTTAACGAGAGCTAACCTCAAGCCTGACCTGACTGGATCTGACCACCAGGCAGCAGATCATCAAAGCAGGCAAAGGCTGCTCAGCCTCAGCTGTATGTCAGTGGCAGATATAATGAACTCCTTGTTTAGATGTTGGTGCATCATTGCCAGCACCTCTGAGCTGAGTAAGAACTAAGAAAGTCAAAATTAGCTGAAGTCAGGGATGAGGCAAGAGTATGTGCCACAGGTGACAAGGTATTGACTCCAGAGCTCTTGCAAAGACTTTATTCTTTTTCATATTTTTATTTACAAGCATCTGCATGCAAGGCAACATTTTGTCCCACACTAACCACATCTAATACAGACAGTGCTCCAAGGGACCATCTTTAAATGTGTCTCATTCACCAAGCTCTTTTCCCCCCAGAAAAAAAATGCAAAGCCAAGGCTCGTGTCTTTTCGTACCATCTGCTGCATGGTTACCCAGAACTGGTTACCCAGGCTCTGCGGGCACCAAATAAAAAATCCTTAGAATTGTGTTAATTGTTCTTTGATAAGTCTATAATTAGTTGACCATTGAAGTCACAGATAGAGAGGTTCTTGAAAAAGAGATGCTAATCGTCAGATTTTTCCAGAGACACAAAAGAAATTTGGAAAAATATCAAGTGGAAAAAACCTCAGCTTGACATTTCACACCCTTCTGCATGTGCCCAGAATAGCACTGCAAAAGATTTGGACTTGTGAACAAACAGACACGACAAATTGACAGTTTAGCAAACCCAGAAACAGCAGTCCATAGACTTACATTGCTAACTGAAGTAAATCCCTGTAACTCCGCAGCTGTCAACAAAGCTGTACCAATTTACATCAGCCAAGAACCTGGCCTTTCATTAGCCAGAATTGGAAACTGCCTCTATCTCTTCCACTTTCTCCTTGTTTCAAAAAAACATGAGGCTATTCATGTCAAAACATATTATTTGCTAAAACTGGTGTTATCCTGCATTAAGGGAATGTATTTAGCCAAACACTGAAATCCAAACCCTTTTCAAAAGAAAATTTTAAGCTTGTTTTATCTAGATAACTGCACCAGAGGATAAATTTGACTTAACCACTGATGAGTTAAAATGAAAGTGATTCAAAGAATGCAGTCTCAAAATTATCTGAATGATTTCCTGAAATTAAAACCATAAATCTGCATTTCTTTCATGGTGAAATCGGGTTGAAAAATCTCAGTTGAAGTCAACATCATAAGATGACTTATAGCTCCTAAACTCAGCTGCACCAGAAAAACCAGTCATGTGTCTGACCAAAACCTACTGAGAATTGCAAACATCATAAAAATAGGATGCCTGCACAACTTGATTGTTTTTTTTTTAAGCTATGAAAGGTCTGTACTGGACATATTTAAGATTTGCAGGGAGGGTTTTGTTGAACAGGAAACATGTTTATCTCATTTGATCTATCTGGTCAGTCCTGTAGAGTATGAAAACTGATATCATCCTTGGACTTAATAAACTATTCAACAATTTTCAGACAAAACTGGAGGAAATCCAGTAGGTTTCATCTCTAGTTATTAACTTGAACCTCAAAGCATGTTCACAGAAAGGACTACCAAAGTTTGCAATGATGTGCAGGGAATCTGAACATCAGAAATTTATGATTTTCAGTGCAAATGAAGGGAGAATACAATCAGAGATTGATTTTAAATCTTCTAATTGCACAGGTACAGCCACCGAAGATGCCCACAAGTAGGTGAAGGAGGTAATGCCACAAGAGAGGAGAATCCAGGCTATGAGGAGCTTTGTGATCACACAGAAGGGAGACAGGGAAAGGGAGCTCCTCAGCAGGGGGACATGTTCCCATGTCCCAGGGGAAAGAACAAGGCATTTACCCAAAACAGCTGTCTGAATGCAGGGAACCTGCCCAGTGCATCCATTCCTCTGCCCATGCAACAACCTGCTGATCCTCCTAAAGCATTTTGCTGATTTTACCCACTGAGGGTACAAATCTGCAAGGACTGATGTTGGATAACATGTCCACAACTGTGGCAAGCACAAACTACGCTGGCTTCTGAATGTAACGCTACTCCAGCCTTAATGAGGTGGGTAGAGAAGAGCAGGAAATAGTATTATAATGTCTGTCTTAAACTAGCAAAGCCTAGTGAAGATCAGCAACATCTACAAAATTAGACACAGATTTTTCAAATATGTTGGATTCAGAGAGATTTCCTTTGGCATAGTTGCATTTCTCTTGAAAATAGTCCTACAGGCATTTTGATAAACAAGTTGAATATACTGGTGACTTCACATCTGTGCATGAATACTATTCTCCAGTTGTTGCCATTTAATAACTATTTTAATTGCACTGAATTAATATTTTCTTTCTCAACGCTATCAGCAAACTGATACAACACATACATACATTTAATTGCAGAACTCTTTCCATAGTAGCCTGACTTTCAGTATTAGATTTTGAATTTAAAATGCATCCAATGAAACTATGAAGGTGTTGCTAATAAGCATGCATGGACCAGGGACCTAACGAAATCTGAGTGTTCTGCGCACTGGATTTGCTACATTAAACAAAGTGAGGCCCAGATAGCCCAGGTATGCATTCTTATCTCCCATGAATATAAAATATTTCCAATGATCCATGGAGAATTTTTACTAGCTTTGGCTGTCACAGACTGGTTTTGAAATGCCATGTATTTTTAATCTATACTATATTTAGCACTCAGGGCTGGTTTTAAAAGTTTCTGAACCCTTCAAATACGTTGCCTAGGAGCAACCACCTCATCGGGATGCAGTTATATTTAGAAATAGGTGCTGCTTTTGGCATTAACTCCTTTTCCAAGAGGGGAACAATCTATACTGTTATGAACATCTTTCTGCTAGTATAGTGTTGGACAAAGTAGACATTAGACATTGGTTTGTGAATAGTTCTCCATGCAGAGAAATGGGGATGGAAGCAGACACTGGTAGAACAGAGTTCCTCCCACTGTGGCTCCTTCATGTTATCAGCTTCGCTAACAAAAAAATATTTTTCTCACAGAAGAATGGAAATAGCAATATAGAAAACAAATAGGAAAAAAAAAGTTTGCTACTGTAGACACACTGATCAGCTTTTCATAGTATGGGCCAGGCTTGCAGGCACTACATGTTACAGAGTAAAGGAGCAAATGCTGTGCTTAGTAAGGCACAGAAGATTTTGGAGGTGGGTGATTCAATTAATCTGTCTCAGTGCATCCAATGAAGGATTTTTTCCAGTGGTGTATTTTCTTGTGTCTTATACAACTTTTTTTTTTTTTTTTTACTTTCAATAGTCACAGTCACTGAGTCTCAGGGAATTTTATATGACGGGTGCAACAAAAGGAGTGGCATTTACAACTATTGGTTTATATTTCAGTTTAATTGCTCTTTCACCAAATTGAACTTCAGAGCCTTCTAACCTTGAAAATAATATTTGTCATCAGCTTTTCAACTTGGGATTTTTCTGAGTGCTTTATTCTAAGAGGGAAACAAAATTACTCCAGCCAGAAAACACAGCATCTCTCCCAGCTGCTGCACACCTCTGCTCTAACCAAGCAGGAGAGTGGGTGGGATTCAGTCTAGAGCAGTACTTCCAGCTTTTTGGTAAATAGCACATCACAACTTTTGCATTAGTTTGTAGCATATGCCAACATGCATTTTATTCTCTCTGCTTGAAAGTAGCGTGTCACAATCTCTACATCCTGAATAAAAATGTCATTAATTATAGATTGGGAAGTATGGTTAAGCTGCCTAGTTATTTGACAGAAGTAATCCAGTGGGATATTCAGTATCTCAGCGTAATCATCTGTTTCGAATCTTAATTAGATGCTCTTGGATGGTTTTTTTTTTTTAAACTACTTTTAATATAACCTTTCTGATGTAGAAGCTTTGCAGAATGGAACACTGAAGATTAATTTCACCTATTATTTAAAATCATACCTCCTGGTGAAGCTGTGGATATGGACTCTCAACAGATATGTAGCCACTTGTTCAGTGCATTTTCATGTACTAACGTTTTAGGTCTTGTAATTCCAGTTTTACATGACAAATCATCCTTTAGTAATTATTTTTACAGAATAGAGTGCAAGGACTTGGATTTACATTGGGTTCTCATATAGGACTACCCAGAACATCAGAAAATGCTATTTCATTTTAAAGAAAGCTACAAGTGAATATGGTAGAAAAGTAAAAAAGAAATGGGAAAGACAGAGAAGAGTTACCAACTAAAGTCACGGGATTACCCAGACCCATTCCTGCATGATTTGAAAGCCTCTGACTATTCAAAAATAGATAAACAAGTATAATTTGCCTCCCGTGGTACTATTATCAACACATTATGGATACTGAATGCAACATACTTTTCATACAGTCTTTGTCCTCTCATGAACACCTTCACCTCATTGTCCAGCGGAAATGTCCCATCATCTTTTCGGAAGCGATAGAACAGTTTGACATCCTTGAATTCCTTATGCTCATCACAGACTGAAATATAAAATAAAATTAAAAAATCTTCACATAGATGTTGAGGAGTTGAGGATCCATCTAGCAGGTATCACCTGCTCAACTTCAAAGCAAGCACATATGGAGCCTAACCCCCTGTATTTCTGAGTATACACCTTTATTCAGTTCTAATAACTGATGAAAGGCTGGAGAAAACTTTCAGATAGGCAACCACATTTTTAGGTGAGGGGGATAGGCATTCATCAGTTTTGTGAGTATTACTGTGAACATAAAGAGCAAAAAAGCATCCATCTGCTATATATCTGGAAAACCTTTTCATGAAAACAGTCTGTTAGCTTGTTTGTTTAAAAGGCTACCAGTGTAGAACACCCAATAATTTAAGGATTGGCAAACTTCTTAAAGCTACTTTTATCAGTTGAGCAATGCCATAGGAAGCCTGAGATTTGCTGCAGAAACAGTTAAAATCACAGCCTTCTGCCCTCTTAAAATTGTCTCAATTGCTCCGCCATACCAGCTAGCAAATGGTAGGTACAACAGGAGCACACTGAGAAATGCTAAATAATGTTTATAAGACAGCAGCTGACGATGGGCTCTTGTAAATGCAGAACAGAGCTCCAGCGAGGGCATAAATTAATGGGAAAGATATCCCAACCAAGCTGCTCCTAGCAGAGTTGGCAGGCCACATACATGGGCTCAACTTCTGCACTACAGGAGCAGGAACTGTTACCCCAAGGATGCTCTGAGCGTCCTGCAGAACCTGACTGAACCTCTCTGAATTTACCCTAGCTCACTTCACAAACTATTTTTTTAGATTTGAGTGCAATACATGAACATTTTCAAGAACCACCTGCACTATGTGTAATATATGCACACATATATATATATAAAATGTGTATGGAAGTTACAGCATGCAATTGGATCCTGAGGTAGAAAACATTTGACGGTTGTTAAAGCTTTAAACAAGCATTCAGCAATAAAACATCTATTGCTCAATTAAATTAAGTCACTTAGGCATCCACGCAACTCTTCACTGACATTTTCTCAATAGAGGATTAAGTAGTCAGATTTGAATACCCTATAATTACTTTATTCTTTAACTATCTACCATGAGTTGCAGTTTCCATAACAACCCAGAATTTTAATTTAATAGCCAAGTAGAAGCTGTAGAAGTGGCACTCATTCAATATGTGCATTTCTTACTTTAATTAAGGTGTTGTTAATGTATTGCAGATAGCAGCAGTATTGCTGCACATACAGTGACCCCTGCATAAAGTCAACATTTGTCTGTTCACAGTCGCTCAGTTTTCTCTTAAAAAAGAAACAAATGGTACATTTTGCCTTTTTGAAATGGGTAATACTATATGTTTGAAATCAAGGGCTTGGATCTTCTTTGTGTGCTTCCTAGCCTTTTTGTGTACTAAAAGGCAACTAAATGGTACCACTGAGTTGGCAGTCTCCTTTTCATCAGTGTAAATTGGTATTCAAGAAGCTGAAAGGAACAGATCTCAAATAGACAACAAGTTTAGGAGAAAATTAATCAGGGCACAGCCAGACCACTAACCTTCTTGCAGCTGTACCAGCACTAATGTTTGTGCAGCTGGTGTGAGGGACAGGGCCGGAGAACTAATCCACGTGAGAAAAATGACGTTTTTTTGCCGGCTGATTTTTCAGATGGGTTTTTCAGCTGGAAAAATGTGCTCTGGGGAGCAGGGAGGTGAGGGCAGCGGGACGAGAGGGGACAGGATCCAGCTGGGGCTGCTTTGGAGGCAAGGAAGCAACAGCACAGTCTCCAGTGACTTCCCCCTCCCTGCACTGACATGGGGAATGTCACTCCACACCTCTTCAGCCTCTCGGTGTCCCTCGAGACATAGGGGACCTTGCGGAGCAGCACAGTTCAAGGGAGATGCTCCCTTTCTGGCAGGGAAAGGATTCTACCTCTCCTGTACTTGGCTGAAGAACAGGAGTGGTATTTCCCTTTGTTGCACAGCAGTCAATAAAATTTAGTTTAGAACTTTTTAGCAGCCGATATTGCACTTACCATGGTGGATAATGCTGTGATCCAGTAATTTCTGCACCAGTTTTATTGCCGTCTCTCGGTCAGAGGCCTCTTTATGGTCAATCAGCCAGTCGATCAGCTCTTTGGCAACAAAGCAGTTCGGGTATGTTTTGAGGTGGTGACGTCGATCTTTAATGACCTTTTCTTCATGCAGTCGGAGCCTGGGGGTCAAATCGCCTTGTGAATATCAATTGCAAAGAGCCTCTGTAACTAGCAAGATTGGGACAAGAGTGGAGAAGAGGCACCCAAGCCCTGCTCACAGGACGGGCTTTGCAGGTGTTGGATGGAAGAGGAGGAGACTTGGTCACCCGTCCACTGCTGGCATCTGACCACAAGGCAATCCACAGCAACCATTTGTTACAATTTTAAACCCCATACTCGGAAAAACTGGTTTTCTGCCCAGTGGAAAAGATTAAAAAATGAAGAACAGCACAGCATACTAAGCCCATTAAAATATTTCCTGCAGGTCAATTAAACTGTCAATAATTTGGAATTAATTTTCCCACATTGCCACTAACACATTCCATGTTACTCTTTTATTTTGTGGTATCACTGCTGTAGATTTTTTTCTTTTTTTAAACTCATTCATTTTTTTAGCTGTACTTTCTTCCTTGGGTAACTGCATTTTGCCTCCAGCTGCACAACAAGCAAAGCATGTATGATTTAAAATTCAGGCGCAAAGCTGTTCCAACACAATGTTATCTAGCATAAAAAAGTTGCCTCCTACGCCAAATAAAGGAGAACTGATTTCTCACTTGGGGAACTGTTGGTAAATGCTACCTATCTGCAAAATCTCCCCCATCATTTTGAAAACAAGTTGGTTGGCTGGTTTAGAGATGCTTGGGTCAGAATGCAAGATCTTGATTAGAGTATTACCTTGTTAGTACAGGTTCTGAAGTTCTGCATCTTTACTTTTAGTCATTTCCCCCTCCCCGCCCCCCAAAAATAAGTAACATTATCAATAAATTAATGGATGGAGGTTTTTAAAGTTTTTAATGTTTCCATTTTAATTCATAATTTTAACCATACTCGTTTTGTAGTGCCATGTCTATACAGCAGTTCTGAACAAAGCATAGAAACCACCATGCTTGGGCTCCTATCACAAACAGAAATATTGCTGTTCATTTCCAAGTGGCCATGATCCTACCTTGTAAACAACCTCACTAACTTCAAAGAAGTTCTGAGTAATGCTACAATAACTGTAGGGGGTACAACTATATTTTCTAGAGAGGGAGATAGCGCAAAAGGGCATTAACATGAGCCTCAGGAAGCACAGAGCAGGAGTTCAACCAATTTTCCTCTCAATCTGATTCCAGTATGAAACAGTTATTTCTTTTTAGAATAAAAGAAAGGGAAAATACTTGGCTGAAATCAGTGAAGAAAATATTATTAGGGCATTAGACAAGGCCTACGTAGGCTTCTACCTAAAAATAGTAGCAAAGCAATGGTTTTATTTTGTAGCACTTAGCCTTGAACTACACTGGAATGGCCAATCTGTGATATGAATTCAAAACCAGCTTTGCAAACATCATAAAAAAAAGAAGACTTTTATATTAAAAATACTGATAAATCAGATCAGTATTCTGGAAAGAAGTGCTGGTAATATCCCATGCATTGTGAAATTCTCTGAGCTAAAATACCTTTGCTTAAAGCATATTTTCCAGATGTGCTCTAACAGCTGTTGCCATACTTAGAAAGAAAAGCCTACACAGTTTTAATTATAGAACATGCAATTATCAGTATGTCTGATGGACCTTTACATTTAAAATATATTCCAGGTTCTGTTAAAGTTCAGCCAGTCTTATGTTGCACGATAATCTGCAAGAACAAAACTAGCATATAATACATATGCAGACGGCTCGACCCAGCTTTCAGTCATCACTGTAAGTCTAAATGGACAGAGTTCATCTGATACAAAACGGAAACCCGCTTCTATGAAATCCTTTGTCCAAACATTGTGTAGGAGTGTGCCAGGACTGGTCTGGTGTTCCACAAACAAGCCAGTAGCCAAGAGCCCCAGAAATGAGTATTTATGTCTTACATTCTGACTGAAGGCTCTCCTGTGGTTGGTGGGCTTATAAATATTTCAAGTTCTCTGTCATGTCAAAAGACATGGGTTCCAACTACAACCTTTTTCCTCACTCAGAGCATTTATAGGGTCTCTCACTGTACCTTTTTGCCTATATTCATAAAACTCATAGAAATTTCATTATCTTAATGATCTCCACCCACTTGCTAAAGTGGATGCAAATTTGCTAAAAGGTTACAAAATCATTAAGTCAAACAGAGCATGATCACATAAGCCTCAAGAAACCTGAAAAAACAAATTTATCCACAATTTCCAAATGGAAGTAGGAACTTTTTCTGCAGTCTATAGCAATTGTATCCGTACTGAATTCTGTCCAGGCTTATTTATTTGGAATAAAGAACAGAAAGGGAATTCAGATTTTCTTCCTGGTGGTGTGTGCTGTTCTGTCTGTCAGGGCTCCCGCACCTCTACAAACCTGCTAAAAATCAGGCTGTATAGAGGAGAAGTAGCTCAATAAATTGAAATTGTACCTAGTGTAAACTACAAATATAAATGCCTCAGGTAAAGTTATTAAGCATATATTGCAGTATGCAAATCGAAAGTTTAGGCAGGAATTCTAAAAAAGTGTCCGTGTTCAGAAATATTTATCAGGAGCCAAATCAAATGGGACAAAAATGAAAAAAATGTAGTGGTGAATGCAATTATATACTGGAACCAACGCTCAAGTGAAGTGGTAAATTCTTTATCCCTTGGCATTGGGAAACAGGCTTCTCACCAAAAAACCTTGATGTTTTCCCTTTAAGTAATGTTAATCACTTTTCGTCAGCTAGTCTGCATGATGACTGGATAAGATCTAACTTGACACCAGTCACATTTCTCTCGCTAGAAGAAGTTTTTCTCAAGAGCTGCTTAGGAGAATTAGCTCACTGACAAACCCTGACCAGTTTGAGGGGAGAAGGGGAGAAGACAGAGGGTGAAAAACAAGGGGTGATGGGGAGGACACCTTGATTCAACAAGCCTTTGAAAAGCTGTCCCTCTTTCTACAACTTGATCTCTTAACACCAGAAAACAATCTTGTGTACACCAATACATCATCCGAATGTAATTCCATATATTATTCAAGATTACCTGCCAGATTTTGCACTTGCGGCTACAGTCTCCCCACCTGCAGAAAACAACATAAGAACTAAAGCATTTGAGCAATTGCCTGTGAACTGTAACAGGCATATGCAACCCTTTAATATTTACAAATTGATATCCATGGCTCTTATTCATACCTACAACAAATAAAGACAGTCCGTATTTGCAAGCATGCATGCTGGAACAGTTTTCTTGGGGGCTTGTCTAAACAGGAGTTGCTCCTAATTAACAACATGTAGGGACTCTTGCTCCAAATAGAAGTATCTTCCTGCAGCATAGCGTGGAACGGGCTAACCTGGAACACAGTGCTCCTGCTTTGCAGTAAACACGCTCAGAGTTAATCAGGAACAATGTTATTTGTTGAGAGGCCATTAGGCATTTTCTTTGCCAACTGTCAGAAAAGTCATGAAAATTGAAAAATCAGAATCTTCACCCAGAAATGAAGAGTCAGGCACGAACTTGGGAAGAAATCGCTCTTGCAGCTACATGAAAATTGCATTTTGTTTTCCACCAGGGAAACTATGCATTTTGAAGTTTCTTGCATCTTTTTCTGAACCAATGGTTAAGGATTTTGCAAAGGCAATGCCTGCACAAGAGTCTAGCTTTCCTTTTAAGCCCCAGAAAAGGCCAGCCTGCTGGCTGAAGACAGTAATGATGTCACTAACTGGACCATGATCCAAATATCTCACCCAGCTATTTCCCTCTGTTAAGTCTAGTAGTTTGTGCCTGGCTAACACAGATCTTGCAGAGCACCATTCAGTCCTGATTTCTATGCATGAAAGGACAAAAAGCCTCCTGCTCTTCTTGGTAATTTTCTGAATAATTCATCTACCATTTCCTAGTACATCCTTTATAGTCCCTGTTTATCCCAGCAAGGCTCAGTAAAAATGTGCAGGGAACAGGTAGGTTCCTGACACCCGATAGGAAACGTGATATGAAGACTGTCATATTGTGCTCCACTCATTCACCACTTTTAACCTTCCTGAAGCAATCATACACACACATATGCATGTATCATAGAATCATGGAATCACAGAATAATTTCCATTGGAAGGGACCTTTAAAGGTCACCTAGTCCAATCCCCCTGCAATGAGCACGGACACCTTCAACTAAATCAGGCTGCTCAGAGCCCCATCCAACCTGACCTTGAATGTTTCCAGGGACAGGGCATCTACCACCTCTTGGGGCAACCTGTTCCAGTGTTTCACCACCCTCACTGTAAAAAAATTCTTATATCTAGTCTGAATCTACGCTCTTGTAGTTTAAAACCATTACCCCTTGTCCTATCGCAACAGGCTCTACTAAAAAGTCTCCATCTTTCTTATAAGCTCCCTCTAGGTACTGGAAGGCCGCAATAAGGCCTCCCTGGAGCCTTCTCTTCTCCAGGCTGAACAACCCCAACTCTCTCAGCCTGTCTTCATAGAAGAGGTGCCCCAGTCCTCTGATCATCCTTGTGGCCCTCCTCTGGACCCGCTCCAACAAGTGCACGTCCTTCTTATGTTGGGGGCCCCAGAGCTGGATGCAGTACTCCAGGTGGGGTCTTACAAGAGCAGAGTAGAAGGGCAGAATCACCTCCCTCGACCTGTTGGCCATGCTTCTTTTGATGCAGCCCAGGATACGGTTGGCTTTCCGGGCTGCAAGCACACATTGCCGGCTCATGTCCCGCTTTTCATCCACCAGTACCCCCAAGTCCTTCTCCACAGGGCTGCTCTCAATCGCTTCATCCCCCAGCCTGTATTGATACTGGGGATTATCCCAACCCAGGTGTAGGACCTTGCACTTGGCCTTGTTGAACCTCATGAGGTTCACATGGGCCCACTTCTCAAGCTTGTCCAGGTCCCTCTGGGTGGCATCCCATCCCTCAGACGTGTCAGCCGCACCACTCAGCTTGGTGTCATCTGCACACTTGCTGAGGGTGCACTCGATCCCACTGTCACTGATGAAGATATTAAGCAGTACTGGTCCCAATATGGACCCCTGAAGGACACCAC